CTGGTCTTCATCAGGAAAGCATCAATGAGACCACCACAGTGTTAAATGGGGATAGCGGGACTCAATCACATGGAAATCTGGAGATAAAATCCTCGGGGAGCAACCTGAGAGTGATCAGCTAGAAACAGGTATACCTCTGTTCTGGTAACTTTTCCGAAGTTAGTATTAGAAAATCATCAGAAATGCAGATTAATGTGACTTTGTTTATTTTCATAACTGAAAAACTGGAAACTATGCAAAGGTTCTATCTATATAATAGAATATCTGCCAATCATAAAAACAAAGCAACCAAATAAATCAATGTATATTCTATGATTTTAAGAAACATTATTGCAAAAACATTTTCTTTTAAAAAAAGATATTTTTTACTGAAAAGGCAGATTTACAAAGCTAAGGAGAGACAGAGAGAAAGATCTTCCATCCATTGGTTCATTCCCCAGATGGCTGCAATGGCCATAGCCGAGATGATCTGAAGCCAGTAATTTCTTCCAGGTCTCCATATGGGTGCAGGGCCCCAAGGCTTTGGACTGTCCTCCACTGCTCTCCCAGGCCATAAGCAAGGAGTCAGATTGGAAGTGGAGCAACTAGGACATGAACCAGTGCTATATCGGATGCTGGCACCTTAAGATGGAGGATTGGCCAACTGAGACATCACTCCAGCCCAAATACTGTTTTCAATATCATAGGAAATGGGTACAATTTCAAAATAGGTCAGTAGGCAGCTGGCCAATGTTTGCAATAGCAGCAATTCCAAATGAATGCCACTTAGATTTCTGACTGTTTCACTTTTAATCCAGCTCCCTGCTAGTGTGTCTGGAAAGAGCAGCAGATGATAGCCTAAGACGTTGTGCACCTGTCACTCACACGGGAGACCTGGTGGAGTTCCAGGCTTCTGGTTCAGCCTGGGGCACCCAGAGTCTTTGTGCCAGGAAGGGGAGAGAACCAACAGATAAAAGATTTGCCTCTGTCTCTGTCTGTTTCTCTGTATAAACCTACCCTTCAAACAAGTAACAAATTTTTAATAGGTGAACTAATACTCTAAACTCCTGTTATATATTTCTAAGGTCACACATGGGAGAAATACTGTTGTTTGGCTCTGCACTCAACTGCTCCTATACCCTGATCACATACCAAGTCAGGATTCTTTAAAATCTGAAGCACAGTTCAATAAAGTTACCAAAAGGTGAGAAGTATCATTAATAAGGAACATCTCTAAAGTAGAGACCCACACACTCACATTGGATACAGTGCCTAAACTGAGCATGCTAAGTCAGATTCAGAATGGCACCAGCCATGACAGAGAAGGATATAAACTGGAATTGAGAGCAAAATGAATAAACTGATGGCTGAACAGATGATTGGCAATGGAAGGTAGAAGGAAATCTTAAAAGCTAACCACAAACCAGAAAGCTGGGTAAGGTGTGGCAACAAGTTGCTACCAGCCAGATTAGAAGTGACGAAGAGAAAGAAAAGAAAACCAGTTCCTCACCATTCGTGTGTTCAGTCCTTTTAATTCCAATACCTGCCATTTATGAGGAATCAGGATAGCCCATGTATTTTGCATATTTTTCACACACTATGTCACTTAATATTAAAATATACTCAGTTGCTACTTTTGTCCTCAAAAGACCTGCTAGAGTTTGCCTATCTGCACAACTCTATGTAAATATTAACATGTAGTCTTCCTTGTAGAAATTGTGACTTGGTTCCTGCAAGAGTATGCTGGAATGGCCCGTGATGACGGGATTAGGAAAGGAAAACAAGAAACTATTTCCAAGTTCATAAAGTGTCACCAGTTGGGGAGAGTCACTGGGAAGCTAGAGTAGAGAGAGAAGATACCAGAAAGACCCAGGGAGGAGGGTCAGGTCAAGACCTCGTCATCAGAGCATTGTGAAGTCAGATTCAGGAAGTCAAGTTCAAGGAGGAACTGGGCAAGACGGGACATGGCAGGTCAGAGGGAGGAGCAATGAAAGCACATCAGCAGGAAGGGAAGACACACTAGGCTGGAGGAGGGGGAGCTTGCCGTGACCTGGAAGCACAGGCCCGGGTAGTGATAAGGACCACAGCCAACTGACAAAATGCAAACAGGTGCACATGGAATCCAAAGGGACCATCTTTTTATATCAGGCAATGTCATGGCATGCTTTGTAGAGAGAAATATGAATGGTCTACCTTCCCAGTATGTCTCTACATGGTCTGAAATAGCACGAAGCATGAGAAAAGAGAAGTGGACATTTAGCACTCTAGTTTGTATTGGTGTGCACGGTTGGAAGCCCAACTCCTCCACTCCAACCTCAGCTTCTTGTTAATATGCACCCTGAGAGCAGGCCCAGGCTCACACACTTGGGTCCTGAAAACCATCCGTGAGATTCAGATGCAGTTTCTGTTTTCTGGACTCAGTCTGACCCAGCCCTGGCTGTTAGAGTCATTTGGGTGTTGATATAAACTCTTTCTCTCTCTTTCTCTCTCTCTCACACACACACTGAAAATAACTATTTAAAATATAAGAGAAAATATACAAATAACCAGCATTTAGCAATGGCCTCTATCAGAAAACTGACTCATTCTGTGGAAGCTATGGAGACATCTCATAGCATCTATTACTCATGGCGAGGACCACAGAGCCAGAGGAAATTTCTAGAAGTAATTCCCAACGCCCAGAGTCTACCAATAGACAAACTATCCCCAGACCATGGCAGCAGCCAGGCAAATGATTCTTTATGATGAGGGATCTTAGAATTAGGAGATGTGCAAAAATAGTTAATCTTATTTTTTGCAAATACTTGCTGGTTAGTTAGAAAACAAATCAGACATGAAAATAATTGCTAAGCAACCCAATAGAAATGAAATCTGCATTTGAGAAGGGGATCTATAATCCTATATTTGCAACAGCACAATCTACAATAGCAAAGGCATGGAAACAAACCAGATGTGCTTCCAAAGAAGTGTGATTAAAGAAACTGTGGTACATCTACTCCATGGAACATTATTCAGCTATTAAGAAGGATGAAATTACGTCATTTACAACTAGGTGGTCCCAACTAGAGACCTTTATGCTCAGTGAAATGAGCCAATCACAAAAGAACAAATACCACATGTCTCTCTAATGTAAGGAAACCATCATGGAAAGTGTAACTTCAATAACCTGACTTATAATTTTTTTTTGCTGCATCCCATGTGTTTTTGATGTTTTTGATTTCAGTTTCATTTATTCCAAATACTTTTTCTCCTGTCGAATTCATCACTGGTTCATGGATTACACGGTGGCATCATTTTTCCCAATAGACTTTTGTTTTCCTTTTTGTTACCCATGTGCTGGTTACTCAGTGGTGTGTGTTTTCTTCATGGTGTTCCTGCAATTTGCTCTTGTTGTTATTGTGGCTGTTGTTCTAATTCATACCAGTTGTTGACCTTGTTTCATGGCTTCTCCTTTATGGAAATAGATAATGATGGAGCACTGGGGTCTACCATATCCAGCTGTGGGGATACAATGCAACCTACATTCCTGCTTCCAAACAAAAGATGGACTCCCAATGAAACTGTTGGAAATGTGTAGAGGATGGGATGCCAGACTGTCTGACACTGTCTCTACCAGCAATGCTGGGACACACTTAAATAAGAGACTGATAGAATTAGGACTCCTTATGAAATACTATACAATTGTAGCAATGTGGGGAAAACCTGTTGGAGGGAGGGAGTTTGGACCGGAATCCCAAATAAAATAAAATCTAATAAATAAATAAATATTTTTAAAAATGCTTTTTAAAAAAGAAAATAATGGTTAAGCAACAAAATAATCAACAGTGATTAGGTTTCTAAATCCTTTATGTACTAGAAACTTGCCAAAAGGAGCGATCATTTTACAACAGAATCAAATCATGAAGATAAAAATACATTTAGTCGACATAAGCCAATCATCCCCTTAATCAAGAGTGGCCCCATTTATGAGCGCCCCAATATACAGCTGCCTGTGTGGTGGGGAGAGCCTGCAAACAACTGAGTGACAGCTAAGAGCAGTCTGCAGAGTCAGGGCTCTCATAACTTGTTTTCAAAACAAAGAGACTTCAACAGCAGAGTTAAGGTGCCACAGACCAGATCATCAGGATGTGGCAGACCCAAAATTAACACCCGGCTCCCATTGCCTGCGACAATCAGCTGGTAAACTAAACCATTTACCTTCAAAATAACCGGCAAGTTAGAACAGCCTCAGAACTCAAGTCTATGCACCTAAAACGGTAGCTGAATAATTCTGTCTCATATTGTTCTGGGTGCCAACACTGACCGAATTTTGTTACCAGATTAAAAACTGTGGCGAGCCAAACACTACCCTGGGGGAAGGGAACTGCCACAGAACGAAGGCACAGTCAGCAGCTTGCTGGGACACAAGGGCTCAGACTGCCTAACAGTGTAAGCAAATCACGGTGTCCTTCAATCTCTTCCCATCTATGAAAATGGAAATGTCATCAATAGGAAAAATTATTCCAGGACATCAGAAATGTAAACGCAAACACATCTTCGAAAGAACGCCCAAATAAGACAAATAGACATGAAAGAAGTGACAGCACAAAAATACTCCAAACAGAGCCTGTACAAAGAAGTTAACCCAAACCTGGAGGCAGTGGGAGGGGCAAGGCTGTCTTTTTGGCCCCGGGGTCAGAAAAGCACTGGGCAATTCCACCTGTCTTGCTGGGGTGCCTGGAGCCAGCACCACTTCTCACCCCAACTTCCTGCTAAAATGCAGCAGCCAGGGCTCAGGCACTAGGAGACCCAAGGTGGCTTCTGCGTGATCCAGCGCTGGCCAGTGTGGGCACGGGGGGGGCGGGGAATGAACTAGCAGGCGTCTCTCTCTCCTCTCAAATAAAACGCTAAATGCATACATTTATACACACACACACACATACATAAATCAATCCCCAAAAGTATTGATCTACGGTCTCTCAGACCTGCCTTCCGGAAAAAGCCCATCCGGTCCGGATTCTCCCAAATGCTCCCAGCTACAGATGCCGCCCAAATACCAAACACCCAGTGGTAGCAAATCACCAAGGCAAAGGCAGCGCACGCAGCTGTGCTGGAAGTCCAAGGGGTCCCCTTCCCCCCAGATGCGCCGCTCACACTTAGGGAGAGCCGACAAGGGGCAAGGTCCCTCATGGACACTGGCAAAGCGCAAGGACGCGGGAGGCAGACAGCCGGGAGCAGACAGCGCCGTCGCCTGCACGCGCGGGGCTGGGAAGTCCCGAGGCGCGGTTCGGGGGTCCCGGGGACCGGGTGGCAGCCCGAGAAGAGGTCTCCTCTGGGCTCTCCGCACGCCAGGCTCTGCGCCGCCACCACCCGGGGCTCCGGGGCGCGGCGCGCGCGCCACAGTTAGACACAGCCGCGCACCCCCGCGCCCGCGCCGCGCGTGCCGGAGAGGCCGCCCGCCGCGCCTCGGGAGGGTGGCCAGGGCGCGGCGGCCTCGCAGCTCCGCCCTGTCGCCCTCCGAGGCCGCCCGAGCCGCGGCGAGCCCACGCGGGCACGGCGCCGGGCCTCCGGGGACCCCCGACTCGGCCCCGGGCTTAGGGACAGGTGAGACGGGGCTCCCTGAGGACCGCGCCCCGCCGTCGCCCAGCTCGGCGTGCGCACAGCGGGCGGCGGGGCCGGCGAGCCCCGGGCCAGGAAAACGCCCAGCCAAGCCCCCAGCCCCCGCGCCCAGGCAGCTCCGCGTCGCGCCGCCCCTCGTGGGGCTGTCCAGGGCGTGGGCGGCCGAGGACCCCCGGCTCCGGCCGCAGACATGCCCGCCCCCGCGCGGCCCCAGCCGCAAACTTGAGACCCACGCCTCGACTCAGTGCCTGCCCCAGGGCGCCGGCGCCACCGCCCGCATTCCCCCTGCCCCGCACCCCGGCGTCCCACCAGGCCTCCCCGCCGTCCGCACGACCGGCGCTGCGGGGACGCAGGAGGTTTGGGGGTGACGAGGAGGGGCGCCCGTATGGACTACGCAGCCTTTATTCCATCCGCGCCCAAGGACGAGCCCTGCTCCTACCTGCCCTCCGCTGCGGCTCGTCGTGGGCGCGGGCGCGGGTGCGGGTGCGGGTGCGGGTGGGCCCGGCCCTACCGATGCTCCACCTCAGCGGCGGCGGACACCTGGGCGCGCATCCCCGCACCGGCGCCCCTCCTGGCCCGCAGAGCCCACTCCTGCCACTTGACAGCAGAAGCCCCGCCTCCCGGCGCTGCGATTGGGTGCGCGGGCAGAGCGGGGCGGGGACGGCAACGAGATTCTCGCTTTTGATGGGGCAGTGGTGCTGTCATTCTCAGTCCCGGGGCCAGGCAGGCTGCGGACTCGGCTGGCAGCTTGATGCCGACTGCAGAGGGGGTCTCTGCGGTCCTCGGAAAGCCAAAGGACCTTCCGAAGAGGGGGAAAGTTGCCTGTATGACCCCTTCTCAGCCCGGGGAGGCAGGGAGGGACCCCTAGAATCTGAACCCGGCCCTGGGTTGGGCTGCCTCAGAGGAACCATCTGCAGCAAAAGATGCGGCAGTGCCCACAACCGGGCATGGCCTGCACAGAGAGGCACCAACTTGGCTTGTGGGATCCTGGGCTCAGCTGGGAGGCGAATCACAGGCGACTGGAACAGGTGCGAGGGGTTTGCCTGCTCCAGTGTCTTATTTTACTGTCTACATGTAACATGGCAACATTATTTGCATAGACTTTTTCCTCAGTGCAGAAAATCTATCTGCCCACAGGTCTGCCTGGTCAGAATGGGGTTTCAAGGAGAGGCCTGGTGACCACAGTCAAGGACCAACAGGACGGCCATTTGCCTTGGGCTGCTCCATGGACAGCAAATGCATTCAAAGCAGGTCCCCGGTTGTTACTCAGCTCCTCATGAGAGTCTGTCCTGTCCTGTCCTCGGTGTGCACAGCCCCCAGGGGTTATAACAGAGCCCACCAGAAGCTCTGTGACGCTGCACCTGTCTTCAGAACAGAAGGCACAGGGCTCCTGCCGTCCTTGCCGTTGCCCAGTTGGCATCTGAAGGGGAACAGAAGTCCATGAGTGACACCAGGGTGGGGAAATAAGCAAGTTCTCTCACCTTCATGAATGGCACAGAACTAGCTCACATCTCCAAAGTGCTCCTGACAGGCTCCAGAGCTAGGGAGGGCACTGTCCACTGGGCAACACTCAGGTGACCATCTTCCTAAATGTCCCCTGCAAATCACCCCAGGAGTCCTCAGAAAAAGTCACAGAAATGCATATTCTGGGAAACAAAACCTTTATGTGGGTTCCAGTGTTTTGCACTGAAATCAACATATTTTCATTTCATTTCACTTTTCATGAAAGTGAGCAATGGACTCCAAGTGGATCAGTTGCCGAACAGTCAGTGCCTGAAATGGGGTGTCACGTTTCACAGTTGCCCAAGCCATATTCCTATAGAGGGCATGCACTTGCAGTTACTCCACTTACCGGAACCTGCCCACAGGAGCCCAGCAAGCCATGCAGACCACGGGCTGCCACAGTGGAGAATACGCGCTCCACATCGGCCAGGCCTGGACGGACAGCTTTGCCAGTCACCGTGAGCCTAGGCACAGCCTCCTGTAGCCTTGGACCGAGAAGGTGAGCTGTCCAGGACAACACAGAGCCCTGAAGGCCCAGGACGTGAAGCCGGAAGGGAAAAGAAGGCTGGCGACATCTCTCCTTGGCTGTGTCATTGCACTCATCCATTGCTTCAGCTGATCCACCCTTGTGGGTTTAGTAATAAAGACGGAGACGGGCAGGAGCTCGGGGAACAGTGTTATTCCAAGCATATTGTGGCTCTGTGTATTTAGTCATCTAATTAGCAGGGTTGTACGCACACACACACAACCTGAAAACAATATTATAGTTTTAGAATAATTTTGTTGTTGATCTGGTACTTTTAGGTAAAACAGACTGTTTCCAGGTATTTTTTATTGTTTGTTATTATCTCAGAGTGCCAGGTTGTACATCTGTTCCTGGCATATATGCATTCATATTTATATAAATATATCAAATTATCTGCTACAGAGCCTCTTACATTTTCCAAATCGTTTTTCTATAGAGTCAATCCCCTGTGTTGTAAAAGGAAGCAAGAAAAATGTAATTGAGGAAATTGGAAGGAAATACGTCCCTTGAAATGCAAAGCTAAGGACTAATAACAGGTGTGTCTCTATTAATGCCCGAAATCTAGAAGACCTCCGACCTGTACTTGGTGGATTTATGGCTCATAGAAGATAGAGGTGTAAGGAAATGTCAGATGCCATGAAGTCCCACCTAGCATTCTATAAAGGAAGGAATTGCATGCGATTTATCCAAGGCCATGTATGTTATTACTGAGAAAGTTGTGTGTAGAACTCAGTCTTACAATGACTCATTCAGTATTTTCCAAGCACATGAGCAGTAGCTCTCCGGGACCTCCTCGGGCATGGTTCTTGCCGTGTCTCCTCTCTAACCACTCAGGAGTTCCAGTCGAACCCAGCTGGTGCACTGCACTTCCAGACTGTGAAAATAACACTGAAGCGCTGTCACTTGGTCTAGAAATGAAGCACAGCATGATAGCAGCTAGGACTCACAAGGGAGGGTGGGGTTGTACCATCAGGAGCAAGACTGAGACCAGAGTAGCTGGGACTTGCAGGAGCTGAGTGCACATCGCCTCTGCACCTACCGGAACCTGCAGGAGCAGGGTCTGGACCCAGCCAGCCTGGCAGCATGCTTCGGAATCCCTCAGCAGTGTGTAGCAGAGATGCCTGTGGTCTGTGAGGCTCCCCCCTCACATGGTTATTCATGGCACCATTTCTTGGATATTATGTTGCCAAACCTCCCACAGCCCATCACTGAATTGTCACCAGCTCCTTTTTTCAGCCTGCCCTGGCCTCCATTCTTCATTCTGTTGCCTCCCACCAGTGATGACATCTCCAGGAGAGGAAGGAAGCACAGCCCCAAGAACCGCCTGCAGCCTGCACTCCTAGGCCTTGCTGCTCCGCCCCCAGGACCTCACTTCCGGGCTTCCCAGGAGAGCAGTTCCCGACACAGCCTGGGGTGGAGAACAACAGAAGGGGGACTTCTCCGGTTAGAATTTCAAGCTGCACTTGGCACAGAGGCTTAGCAGCCTCTGCCTGCTGGTTTGGAGAGAGCCATGCTAATCCTTGCCTGCAGTTTCTGCAAGATTACAGGTCCACTGGCCCAGCTTCTACAGAGCCCCCTGGGACCAGGCACACACACTGGCAGCACTACACGGTGGGGAGGTGAGGCTGGGAAAACAGTTTCCAAATACTCTTCAATGCTGGAATCAAAATCAGCAGCTGTGACTGGCCTCCTCCACAGCTACTGCAGCTTCCTGGTGACTGAAAAACAACGCTAGGATTCATTCTTTGTTTTTGGCGGTGACCACTGTGCTCAAGGGCAGATTCGCAGAACCAGCCAGACGATAGTATTGCTAGGATATTTTCACATTGCATGGCTTCTCCACAAAGCCTGCTGTTTTCTGTCCAGTGCTATGCCATCTGTCCAACAAGAACCAGCGTCTACTGCAGAAAAGGGGCGTCTGCTCTTTAGCCTGCCACAATATGGCCTGCCAGTTCTTCCAATTCAAAGAACTCACAGGGAGTGGGCACCAACTGACCACGGTGGCTAAACTGTAGCATGAGTCTGTTTTGCAGGGATACTTGGCAAGTAGATATTGCTAGGGAACGTCCACTCTCAACCTTAACTAATGTGTCCTTTCCTTTTATTGCCAGCTGCCCCAATAGCCACTGAATATCCTATCTTCTGAAAAGGCCTTTGAAAGAATGGGCATTACTTCCCCTATACAGGGGACGGATCATGGAAGACCTGCCGTTTCAGTTCACTGTATGCGGCTATAGCTGAGTGTCTGAGTATGGGTAATTACTAAAAACAGAGATGTATTTCCTGGTCATCCTGAGGTCTAAGATGAAGGGGCTGGCATCTGGCAAGGGACTTCTGTTGCATCATCCAGTGCATTTCCAGCACTTGTCCCGTCTTCTGCTGCTTTCCCAGCTGCAGCGCAGGGAGCTGGATGGGAAGTGGAATAGCAGGGACTCGAGTTAGCCATCATATAAAATGCCTGCACCTGTATGAGATGCAGGTGCCACAAGTGACAGCTTAATGCACTATGCCGCAGTGCTGGCCTTTAGAGTTCTTTGCTAGGAATGTGGGGTCCAAGTGTCAGGAAAGGTCATCAGTGGACGTATAGAAGCTGTCCCCCAGAGGAGAAGCAACGGAGAAAAAAAATAATTCAGCTGCCCTCATCCAGATTGTCAAAATCATTAGCCTAAAGATGATCGTCATCTCATTATTTTTAATATCAGATTTAGAACAGAGTGACCAAGTTTTATTCCTAATTATTGATAAATTGTAGGTTTTCCTTGACAGTTTTCCTGTGTTCAAAATTTTCAAAATCATTTCAAATATCATTTTGTCTTGCTTGTTTTTCTCAAGTGCAGCCTATTTTTTTTTTTTTTTATTGACTTCTGCTCTTAGCTCTATTACAGACTTGCCCCTGTTTAACTTTGATGGGGCCTTTTCTCTCTTTTTATGAAAATGCATGTCATTGATTTCTCAGCCTTCCTTCTTAAATATTTCCTTTTAAGAAAATAGATTTCTCTGATGTGGACTCTACTAAACCTGACAAGCTTTATCATGTCTTATTGTCATTACCATTTGGTCCGAATCGTTTCTGTAAAGACTACTGTTGAAAACAGTCTTTCGCAGGTCACACAGTTTTTCTACTATCTCAACTTGAAGAATTTCTCAACTTCAGCCATTCCTTCCATCAGAAGAAAGATAGCCTTAAAGGATTCAAATCTCTTGTGATTTGTTGATGTACTGTTTACAATGCCAAACTGACACGTTTGGTTAAAGCCTTGTGTGTGGTAAGGAGGTTTCAGAGGATCAGCACGCAGGAACAGACCACCCACCCTGTAGCAGCACAGTCAGCTCTCGGTG